GTATATTAAATTTATGTTGTGTTTTAAATGAATAAACTTTATAAAAAAATAAAAATAAAAGAAGAGGAATAAAAGCTTAGTTTTTACGAATGAGATCATCAGGGGTACAGCACAGGTTAGGCAACTGGGAGAAAAAGTTCTAGACCAGACTGAAATGATTTGGACTTGTGCAGAGGAGGAACAGTAGAAGGATGTTAAAGTGCCTGTGACATCAAATTTTTGTAACACACATGAATGCATTTTTAGAAAGAGGACATTGATAAAATATTGCAAAATAAATTTCATGTCGCTGAGATGAACAGTTGTTGAGATATTTGCCTGTGAAACAACAGGAAGTGATGTCAAAGGGGAATGTCCGCATGTGAACAGAGCATGTAGAGAATAATCTGATGCTTCTTAAGATTATTTTGAGTCACTATCAGAGATATGAAGAAGAGTCAGAGTTCAAATAATATTGTTTCAATAAACAAAGACCAGAGATTTGTCTTTGTTAAAGAGTTCCCCTTTGATGTCACTTCCTGTTTCACTTTGGCTGAGCCCAGTTCAAAAGAAAACATGCCAGTTATGGGACAAAATGGGTTAAATCATGTGTAATATTCCACTTTTCTTAAATATAAAGATGTTTTCTTTGACTTTTTGTATTTGAAGAATATGCACCTCACAGGCCCTTTAAGGCCCTGTCACATAACATTTTAGACAACTTATGAAACTTTTTTATGTCTAAATTACTAATAAAAGGGATATATTTGATCACTTTGTTAGCATTACAGCATGTACACCTAAAAGAGGCTTCCAGTTGAGTTTTTAAATTCCATCTTCAGTGTAGATGTCTTTTTAAAATCGTCAAAAATGTTATAGCGTGACCGAACTTTTAGAGAGGCAGCTGCCAGGAGTATATGAATGCAGTTAGAGAGGACATGGAGATAGAGTGAGGACAGAGGACGCAGAGGTGACTTCTAAAGAGGGAACAGGTCTTTTATTAGCACACTAATGAATCAACCATTAAAACCACTGATAAGTGTTGAATAACATCATTGCAATAAAACAGTTTATTGGAAATCAGGACAAAATTTAAAGAAGGTTAAAGTTCAATTTTTTTAGCCATTTTAGTAGAAAACAGAACTGAATATTAGTTTCTTTATCATCAGTGACCTTCTTTTTTAAATACCATGAAAAAGAAAGGGAAGAAAAGGAGAAATATAATGGAAAAGATTGAAAGAGAGATTTAGAAGATATGTGAAATATACACCAAGAAAACAGAAGACAACACACCCGACATCTGTCTGCACACCTGCAACAACGGAGAAAAACAAAACACAACAACAAATATGAGTATATAATACATACAATATGTGCAGGTTTGATCATAGATATATTTATATTTCTGATTTACCGTTTTGCTTTCCAGAAAGCTGTTTTTCCATTCAGTGAAAATGTTCATTATGCGAGAGCCACTCTGAGTAAATGTGCCTTTTTTTTGCTTCATGAAGTGGCCTCTTAGATAAAGAATGTGTTAAATGGTTTCATCAGCTGGAAACAGGCAGGTTTGAAGTGGCTTTAGTGTTTCTGTACCCTTGAGCTGAACAGTGAGTCATAAGTGTGAGAATCAAAGTTTGAGTTATTCTGCAAAATGGTTAAAAAAAAGTAGCAACCTCCCACACTTTCATTAATACAAAATTCAGTATTATTGCCTTTTGTTGCAGAGTTTAAAGGCACAGTGTGTAGGATTTGTTGTTTTCAGTGACATCTAGTGGTTGAGTGGTTGAATCATCC